TGTTAGTTGTTAGATTAAAATTCACACTTAAACCCATTACAAAGAAAGTGGGTCGGCATCACTGAATATTTGAAAGCGAACACTATAAATAAATCAAACTAGGAGCCGATGAACTAAGAGAAAATAAGGAGCCGATGAACTAAGAGAAAATACCCTTTAGTTACCATTCGTTCCTCCTATAGATCATACATTTTAAAATTAAACCTAAATAGTAAAAGTTGATTGAATAAGACGACTGCAAACGGCGTTTTACAGAGAAACTTCTTATTGTATTAAGTATACATAGGTAGAAGATTAATATATATTAAGGGTACTGTAGGATCAAAAAGTAAAAATTATATATCGCAAATTCTAATTCACTAAATACTAATTCATTAGTATATTTTAAAGCAAATCATATTTTTTACGTGTTATCATCCTAGTTTATATTCATACTTGTGTGTAAAAATCTTGCATTGTAGAATTGTAAATTCGCTGCTCGCAGTAGAAATAAATAATTAATGAATTAATTAACCAATTCTTTTTACAAATCTTACGACAACTAAAATTAACCAGAACACGACTAACAGCTAAACACATTCATCAAAGAAACCTCTTAGATAAAATTCATAATTTATGGTAAAGCAGATAAACAATTCACGGAGACCATATATTAATAAAAGAGTGCCTCTGGGAAGGATAATCGCTTGGAGGGATGCCGAGGGGGGGAGGGGGGGGGAGAAACATAATGGCGGCCAAGCAACAAGTGCGTGATGTCCCAACAAGCTTTTAATTTCCGAGTGACATTTTTCATGCGGTTCACAGATGTTACCCAGATAAACAATAAGCGGCCACGTCGACACATCGTTGCCAAAATATCAACTCCGCTAGTTGTATGTGTCATGAACGTGTGTGGAAAGCTCGACCTCATAGTTCAGTTTTCTGGGTAGGCACGAATTCAACAAATGTTTGATCTCGCTTATCCTAGCACGTACTGAACAATATTTTCTAAATTGATCAAAATGGCTAAGAATATACTGGGCATCAGTTTTTGAATCCTCTAAGCCTAATTAAATGCTAGTTGGGCAAAATTAGGAGACTGATGCCAGCCCACCTGAGCTGGATAGTGGTCATACTCTCTGCTTTCCGCATTCTCTGCCTGTCTAAAATTTGTCAAGTGCATGCGTAGGTGACTGTTACCCCAATTTAATTTGTCATTAATATGATGTTTTTATAGTATTCCAAGCCAGCTGTCCAAATTGAAAGTTTCTTGATGCATTTTAGACGTTTTCTTATATTTAAATATCCATATACAGTTTTTATGTGTTATTAGGTGATTTATTTTTGTACTAAATCCCTCGTGATGTTTAGTCCAGATACTTGTTCAATGGGTAAGACATGTAAAAAACCACTTGTAAATAAGCGGTGGGATGTTCCCTATACTTTGATGAATTTTGCCGTGAGAAAAATAATATTTTGTAAATGTAGAACATTGGTAGAAGAATTTATTGACATAACTATTTTATCTTAATCAATAAACCATCGTGTGTGACTCATTAATTTACATTTTGATTGAACTCAAGCTTTGACTATTAATACAACAGTCAATACAACTTCAGGATCCAATAGTCAATGACTCAAGTCAACGGATACTCCAATGAACAACTAAAATATCAATTTTACAATTGCCTGCAAATATCGGTCAAAGTTAACAATTTAAGACGCAAAAATTGACACCCTCAATTGTATCAATCGAAATAGGACCCCTAACCTAAATATACTTGAATATACCTAAGTATGCCTTGAACTTACTTAGAACCCTAAAAAAATGCTTTTTATGTATATTCGCGAATATGTAGTATGATAACTATATGATAAATCGACTATAAAAACAAATGATAAATCACGAAAAAATCTAACAAATGCAAAAAGTTCACCATAATTTACAACTAATTTACGGTTAAAACACACGTATAAAAGAGTAAGCAATGTTCATAACACTATGTGGGAGCGTTGGTGTTAATGTTCTGTGAACTTGTTGCTAAGAAGTAAGAAACAGTAAATTGTAATTACAAGTTGACAACAACAATAACAGAAGCGAATACACCGACCAACATACACCCTAGCTTCGTCTTCAACTTCTTTATAATGATTTATGTCATCTTGGGAAAATTTACAATTTATTTGTCATAACGTTAGTAAACTTTGATTCGGCGAAATAAAACATAATGCATATGTTGATAAATAATGGATACCTTATTATTTTGTCAACTATTTATGCTTGAATGCTGGTTTAAAATAATTGCCTTCCAATCAAAAGAATTTTTTGTTTGATCAGTTAAGAGTTAGAACTTAAAAAAACTGTACCGAGTTGATATTATTGTCATTCGGAAAATGGATATGAGAGATGTTTTCTAAAAAATGTTAATGATAAAGGTAATGAATATTATTAATTACCTACTTCAGTATACATTCCATCGACACGAATCAGTTGAAGACACTTTTTACTTGAATAGGAAAGATCCTTAAATCTTCCTCTCATAGAATCTGCAACTATTGAAATTCTATTAACTCTCTCGATTTTGTTCTTTTATTACAATGTGGACATGAAGGAATGTGTACTTTACAATAAATGTCGCTTTTAGTTTGACACAGCAATTTGGTGTAGGTAGGAAGTAAACAGTAATTTACAGCAGCATACTTTATCATAAATTAATAACATTTTTCTTTTATCTTAAATCAGAGTACAATTTAAACACATGAATGTCTGTCTACCTCAACATAGTGAATCTATACTTAAAGTATTATCAATCGTAGACTTAAAAAGTCTGTCACTTTCTACAGACTAAGCTTCTTATCAACATCTAAGTGAAGGATGGACCTCACACTTGTGCAAGAAACTCAAGACGAAATAGAAATCGGTTTTACGTGCAGAAAGAAACAAGCACGTCAGGATTAAAAGTGAGCTATAAATAAACTGCGCTCCCTCGACGAACACTTGTTGAGCTGATCGCGAAACTGAAACTGTACAGCTTTGTATCCGATACCAAGCGAAACAGACTGTCCGAAATCCTATCATCCGGATTGTGTCTTTACTCTAGTACAAGTTTGTCTTCAAGTTCCTTTGGTTCTTAGGTATTTCGATTGGAAAATTGAGATCTATCCGTCCCTAAAACGTTTTATATTCGTTTGAACAGCTGATTCTACCGTTACATTCGTAGCGTCCTTGATTAGGTTTTCACTGAATAGTTGCTAGGAAAACAGCTGATCAGTAACAAAACTCTCAAGTCATGTTGACGCGTTCACTTAATCAAACACTGCGTTCTTACAAATACATGCACAAGTACATCGCCGTTTAAAGAAGTGATAAGGCATTTTCTCTGAGGATGATTCGACATGTAAAGCTTAACCATCTGTTACCTGTCGGGGTTTTAGTTGTTAGTTCTTTCAACCTAAATAAGGGTTTTTGAGCATGATTCACCCTCAAAGCTTTAATCCTCGCCTTCCAGAGGCTCTATTTAAATGTAACAGGAGTAGATTTTATGTTAAATCAGACGTTGATCTATTGAGTGGTAAAATGAATTGACTAAAGGAAAAATATACATAGAGTGTTTGTGTTTACTTTGTTTTGAAGCTTTTACTTCCATTTTGAAATCTTATATCTATTAGCTCACAAATTATGCCAGATTTTAAATTACCGGTAGCATTTTTCTAATTATTGTTACAGCTTTAATAGTCGCCATTGAATTATCTTAAATGTTGTACCAAAAGGTGAGAACGAAACAGTAATCAATATGCGTTAGGTAGATACTTAACTAAATGCAAAAATAGCCACGATTTACATAACAGATATGTCAAGCTTAATGCAAGTAACATAAACAAAAAAAATTTACCATCGGTTATTTAAAACAGGTTAAAGTTGTTTTGGTTAAAATTAAAATACGGAAGTTGTCAAGACTCAACAAGCCAGTGAAGTCATTTTTGTGAAGTTGGTAAATTAAATTACCATAAGAACTGACGGAATTTTTACATAAGTTAAAATCTCTTCGGTAAACCCAATCACTCAACTAAGCTCAAACTTAGTCTGTTATAATCTTTTTTCATTTCACTATCTACCCATATCTTGTTTGTTTCAGTAACCAGACCATCAGTTCTAGTGTTCTGAAGTAAGACCTCCCAACCTTTCTCAATATCACATATTTCTCTCTTTTTGTCTATTCTTTTTGCCGTTTTCACATTTTTATTCCACTCTGTTTACACACAATACATTTATACCACTGCATCGATTAGTCTACCAGCTCTAGGGTTCTGAACTAAGTTTACTTGCTTTGCTTGTCACGTGTTAATTATACAGGTACGTTTTGATTTATTTATTACTTCTCGACACCACTTTATTACTCTTGTCACTTTTTACTACTCCTTATAATTCTTTATTACACTTTGACCACATATTATTAATTTCCCATTTACACCTCGAATAGTTTTTCCTACTTGTTTAGAGGTTGTTGGTATTTTTAATGTTTTATTTTCCTGTTCACATAGGCCTCGGGTCCGTTCGTGGTACGCATACTGCAAAGCAAGGGGTGATCCGGTACAGTAGAGGGTAAATTTTACTAATGAAATTGATTAGCACCAGGCAACAGGATGCAAACCCCCGAAATCGCTGTTATGACTTCAAAGCTCAACCTTACTCACTCCACAATTTTCTGCATCTTAGTAACCTCTTACTTCTTATACATTGTATTCTTATTCACACACCTCTTCTGCAGTGATCTGTTTATGAACTCTAGATTCAGCACTCAGATCTCTTAACCTTACCTACCCGGTTTCCTTTCCCACGTTTCCACACACTCATACTTTTTGCATTAGTCACATATCTCCTCTTCTTTTTCAGTGAATCGATGAGCCTTCTACACTCAAATGCTCAAATCTCATATTCTCACTCTCTCCGTTTGCCACATCTTCACAACCTACTTCCTACACTTTGTTCAGCTTCTCACATATCTTCTCTTCTGTTGCAGTGACCAGTCCATCAGCACGAGAGTTGACCGTATGACCTCTCACGCAGACCTCACCAGACCCCTCTGACAAAGGGACGACACGGTGGACAGCCACCTGATGACGACATCTCAGTCCAGCGATCTCTAGCTCACCCACGCCTGCGCGAACATATTTTTAGGGTAACATATTTTTAGAAACGCGTTGCGATCGCCCTTTTTATAATAGTTTTAAACGAAAAGGCGTTCGCGGTTGACATCGACTTAGTCAATTTGACTTCCTACATAGGGCTGTTTTGGTTTATTTAAGTGGCAGTGTTTGATCGTTAAGTGGTTCAAGGATTTGGATTGATGTGTAAAAGGGGAAACTATGTTTGATGTGTTTTATTGTTTACTGTGGTTGGTTGCTACATCGAAAAATTATGGATGTTTGTAACATGTTTAACTCTTTCCTTGATTGAAACAGAATGAATTATTTGATAATTTACAGGTTCATTTAAATGTTTGAGCATTTATTCGTCACATAATACGGGTTAAAAGAGCTTATAAAGTTCAACCTACGTTATGAAAATACAATTTAAAAGCCAAATGAAATCTAATTAAAATAAAATTGTCAAAATACCCGCTGTACTGTCAATGATCCGTTTTGTTGTCTAGCGACCAAGGTTTCGAACCTAAAAATCATTTTTAGCTTAAGTAAACCAATTAGTTGGAAAAATCATCTGTAGTTGGGGTTGTAAAGAGTCGTCATACACTTAACTAACACTTCACAAATACGGAAAAAAAAGATTTGACTAAGTTATAATACTGAAAGGCCAACGCTTGGTGTAGCCCTCGGAAGGTTAGTCATGACAACTTGAGTGAAAATACTTCAGCGAAACCTTGTTCACTTGACAAAAACGCATTATTTCCTAGTACAAAAAGTATAACCTTACTAATTGTAAAAACGTGATCCAGAAGCTTAACAGATTTATAGATAAATTAGTTTAAGGTAGATTTTATTATTAGAAAGGATTAAACATGATGAAAATCTTACCAACAAAAACTTGTTTTACTTTTTAACCTAATATTGTTATGTTCATTTGGTAAAAATGGACTCCAACGTAAAGTAGGAGTCTTATTAGTTTTGTATACACCAAAAACAGGTTAAAAAATTTAACATCCATTCCCCATTGAAAAGTGTTAACGAGAAATTCTTGAACGCCTTGGAGGGATCAGACCCCAAGTCAATTGTAGAGATTAGATAGAGTTTTGTAAAGTCCGTGTTTATTGTATTGTAGATTCGTAGGCCGCAGGATAGACACTTCAAACAAACCTAGCGTCGAACTATTAGGGCCAAATTAATTTTCGTTCCTGGCCTTTTCGCACGACTTTAGGGCAAAGAAGGGAAGGAACACTGCTACAAGGGTTGGAAAAGAGATTTGTGTAAGCTCTTTACCTGATTTTTCTGGTATATTCTTTAAGTGAATGGTTGAAATGGGATTACCATGTTTTTGCTTAATCTTGAGATTAACTCATACTATACTCAACTATAGATTACTACCAATACTAAAATACTAGCATGACCCAACCTGTCCTAACGTAACACCTTATACAAGCATTATTCTACCTACCCATAACATAACCTTATATATTCTAGCATGACCCAAACCTATCACATCATACTTGAGCATATTTCAACCCACCCTACCATCACCCAATACATCATAGCACAGCTCAACTTACCTTTACACAATCCAATAAATCCTAACATAACCCTGCCTAATCTAACAAAACCCAATACATCCAATTTACTTGACTCAACCCAACTTCACATGGTCGGTTTCGAAGGTTTATGCTTCAGTTTAATCGATAAGCCCGATTCAGTATTAGTCTTTTAAAGTATTTTTTTAAATCAAAATTGCTTTACCATACAACCTCAGATAGTAGCACTCTTTAATCTGTGGTACAACCCCTACAGTTCGTTTCTGATTCAACAGCCCTTCTGCCCATAAAGTCGTGTGGGAAGACTCCGTGTATATAAGTGCCAGCCAAAACAAGATTGTTTATACTACAATATAGTGTTTTATAGCTATTTATAGAGAACTGTGTCTTTATATAAATGTTGTGCTAAAGCAGGTTATTATAGAACAAGTGCTAACTTATTATTTGTTGAAATATGAATATAATATTTATGTCGGATGACAGGTAGTTTAGTACATGTTGTCCAGGTTGTTAATCCAAAATATGTGTATAAAGTGTAATTGTTTGTGATAATATTGGAGTAGTGGCCCGAATTTTACTGTCCGTTTTTAAAACATTATTTCAGTTTTAAGATTGAAATATCATATTAATGTAAACGAAGTATCCTGGAATATTTATTGTAAATAATTTTTATCGGTTTGGGTGTTCTAAATACCCGATTATTGTAATAATATGATCTCATCACCAATGGCAATTTTATATTATTTTTGTGATCAGTAAAAAAGTTCCTCTTTAGTACAATACGTTTGATATTTTGCTGAACAATACACCCAGCATTCAGGTACTACTTATTTATTGGCCTAAAATAAGTGTTTATGTGGAATATAGTAGTTTTTCTCAAACTCTTTAAGAAAATGATTCATATCTGTTCACATATTTTCATTCTAAATTCATCATTTTTTTACTTAATACAGATATTTTCCAAACGTGTTTCATGAAAAAATTTAGTAAATATAATTCGAAAGTTTATACATAAAACTAAACCAACAAAAATAATATCCCCATATATGTTAAGTAGGTATTTGTTATGAGATAGATTGTTCAATTCAAACAACATTTGATTACAGTTGTGTTATGTTTTGTTGTACGCACGAAATTGTAAATGCACCAAATGTTAGCAAAGCTCTGACTGCTAAATATGAACATCAATATTTATATATTACATTATATGGAGGTCCAAAGTGTAATGTATATAGTTTTATATGAACGCTTGTGGTCATGCTAGCAATATACAGTGTTGGGACTGTTGTTAAAGTCATAAATGTATATTTTAGTGTAACATAGAGTTAGTTGCTATACGAAACTTTTACCGCTCTAAATGTGGGTTTGGTTGCTCGGGGAGAAAAAATACTTATTCTGTAGATATGAGTAAGAAATTAATAGTTCTTTTTGTATGGTTTGATTGGTTGGGAGTTGATAAAATAGACCTTATAACTGCCACCTGTTGTCTAAATTTAACAAAGAAATATTTTATTTGATGTGCTTTTTGATTGGATTTAGACTATATATGGAAATAATACAGCCTGTTTAGTCATGTTGGGAGTCCAAGGGCTATAAAATTGATTGTTTCTTGAGAGTACACCAAAATAATAATTACCACTGTTGCTTTCACAAAATAGAATATCTTATAAAGTTTTGCCAGCTCGTTGAATAAAACAAAACTGTAAGATCATCAAACCCTTGCAAAAATAATTTGACGTTTTACTAATCGTCCACAGATTTATTATTTATAAAGTTTCTTAAAACAAATGTTACCCTCCAACGTTTACTTTAAGTTACGGTTTACCCATAACAGAGGAATATGTGTTTCATTCAAACCTAAATTTATTTTGTTAAAAAAACCCTTATTTTACGTGTTAATTCAAAAACAATTTGTAAATACATTTAACAAGGAATACTTTTCCCACTAAGAATTTACAGATGACGATAACTTTTGAATAATTTGGTTTCTCATATGGTCCTGCACGGCAACATTGGCAAGTTGCCAACTGCGGAGGACAGTTGTTAACTGAAGGACTCCGTGTTTCGTGATAATTATGTAGGCCTTCTAATAACTTCAACTTCGCTCTCAAATTAATGTTCTTCCTAGAGTTCAAAAACTTATCCGCCACCTTTGTCACGTACGCGACTTAATTATTAAGTTTATCTTTACGTTAAATTTACACATAACAATGCGTAAGGATTACAGTGTACGTATGATATTTTAATGCTTAGATTTTAAACGTGGTTTTCATCTAGTTGAAAATTTTGACTATTGCAGACTTCACGTTAGCAAACATAGTAAGTTCCGTTCAATTGCTTCATTGAATTCCCAAAAGGCTTATATGAAAATCAATTTACTATTAGATCCACGCCCAATATAAATTATATTATTTTCCAAGAGTTAAAGGACAGCAACAAGGAATAACTATTTTTGCAGCATAACTATAGAAAACTTAACATACAGATACGTTTTCCAAATTTAGTGCAAATCTACCCATAAACAAAAAAACATAGGCCTACGTGTATATGAAATAGTGTACCCTCTGTCACCATAACTTGGGAGAGATTTATTTTCAAAATAAACTTATCACACACTTTTTTAAAAATTTCTATATTTCGGCATTAGCCTTCTTCAGGAACAAACACAATAACAAATAGAAGTGTTTACCACTCTGAATCATATGGTTTTAGCAAAAATCCAAAATACATATAATTTATGAAGAAGTAAAAAAGAAAAATGTTTTGATAGTAAGAAAGAAAAAAAATGATATATATATATATATATATATATATATATATATATATGTATATATACTATCACAAATTTAGACCGGAAGGTGTTTTAGATTTAAGTATTAATTGATGAGCTTGCTCAAGCTGTCTTAATTTCAAGTCTGGTGCGTCTTTTGCCAATTTTCGTATTCCTTTTAATGAATAACATTGTTCAAAATTTTGAGAATGCTCTCTCGCATGAATAGCCACAGGTTTTTGTTTATCGGGATGGTTTACATCATATCTGTGGCCATTCATACGAACTCTCAGAGCATTTGTGGTTTTGCCAATGTAGTCTTTAGGACAATTTTTGCATGAAATTTGGTAAATTACATTAGTAGACTCACAGGTGATGTTAAATTAAAATTGGGAGATATTTAACTAGTGTTAATACGTAAACTGTTCCATCAACCAATGGAACAGTTTAAGCCGAAGTAAATAAATTATGTTTAAATAATTTTTAAAACGTTCGATGAAAAAAGCCATAACCCCCTTTTCCTATAGGCGGATAAGGCTAGTTCACGGACGGATGGAAAAGAAATATTTTTACACGTTTGACCAATAAGAAAGGTACAGTAAACATTTAACTAATTGATTTCCTATGAAGGCTAGAGAAATACTTTCTTTCCTACAAAATAATGTAAGCTTGTTGAAAGACATATATTAAATTTTATCTCCCCCAATCGAATAATTTGATTTATGATTTGTATGTTTTAACATTTTCCTTAACCATGCCGTCCTTGTATAACATATCATCCTACACCAATATATCCTTAACATCTATTAGTGAACATAATAGCTCAGTGGTAGTCTCTTTGGCCTGTGTAATCTGTACCGGAACATCACTTCCCTAATGGGCAGTTGAGTTCCTAAAATCCTAATCTTACTTACTCTTGCTCGCCTATAGTCGAGTAAATCCGTACGAGAACCCTAAAAAAATTGCTTTAAATTGTTTTATTGGTTATTTTGACTTAAAATTATGTGTATTTTCCAGGAAAAAAAGTCTAATAAAATCGGAGTCTCGGAAGTCCAAAATTCAAGATGGCGTCCAAGATGTTGGTCAAATGTGTCCGTTAGCACAATAACTCAAGCAAAAATTATCTGAATTCGATGAAATTTGGTAGAAACATGTAAACCTACATTTATTTGAACGACTTCGCGAACCAGCATGATCGGACCATGGGAACGGGGGATTATGGGGGGTTTTACGGGGTAAAAATGGGTTTTCCCCATTTTTGACCCTAAAAACGTAAAATTTTGCAATTTATTTTGAAACCATTTTAGGGCTCAGAAAAAAATTAGTACATTGAAGCGTTGTCATGGGTCTAATACATAGTTACGGAGAAAATTAAAAAAAAATTAAATTTCAAACTCCTATGTTTTTCTTACGGAAAATAAGAAAACTTGTTGTAGTTAGCCTGTATATGAATATATTTTTATCAAATTTGGAAAATGAATTTTTTTTATACTAAACTATTTAACATTTTACTAAAAACACTTTTTTACCCTCTCTGTCGCAGCAAACTGAAGTACTAGTTAAACTAGTGCTATTTAAATAGGGAATAAATGTGATATTTTTAATATGATATTTTTAATGTGATATTTTAGTGTAAATTCAATCAGGCAAATTGAAATTCGCTTAGGGTGCAGGTTTGCTGCGGTGGGGGTGTTTTAATTTATGACTATTTTTTTCTTGAAAAATCCAATAATAGGTCTTAAAATAAAGATCACAAGCTAGCTAAAATTCAACATACATATGTTATTTACTTAAATAAATATCTATACATTTTTAGCCCGAAAGGATTTTTTAGATAAGAATAGGCTTGTATTAATCGGGAATCTGAGCTATCATAAAGCCACATTTCAGCCCAATCCGACCAGTAGTTAATGCGTGATTGAACTTCAAACAAACAAACTGTCACATTTATAATATTAGTAATAGTATAATATAGTCACACTTTCTTGTGGTTAGTAGTAGAGCATTATACAAATAATAATTCATAATTTTCATCAAGTTGTACACTGTTATGATCACTTTACGAACTGGCACATTGTTCTCCAAGCTGGTAAAGTCCACAAGCTGTAGTACAAGGTAACCCATACTTTGTTGCAGGAGCATTGCAAATTCTTGCAGCCAGTAGAGTAGTTGCAGTGAGCAAATCTTAAAAATCTCTGGAGCGGCACTTTGGGTCATCGAGTTGTTTTTATTGTTTATTTTTTTCCAGCAGAGCATCTCGACATTTTTTTACATTAATTGAAAAACTCTTCAAATGAATAATAGTTCTTTTTTTTAGCAGTTGATTCACTAGATGTATGAAATAATTTTGGTTTATTTTACTTTTT